AAAATCAAGTTTATCATATTTGTTTCGAAAAATCCATTTTGTGCCAATCACAGTTTTGTCAATGGGTCTAGGTACTAATTCCCGATCATTAGCTCACCAATGATTGGTGATGTAGGATGTCTTTTCTTAATGTGACCAGGAGCTTCAGGTAAGCTGCTAGATACTTCAGATTGAGGAGAGGATTCTGCATCTGCATGTTTTTGTGAGCTACTAGAGAGATTGTCCTGAATATTAGTAGTTGTATTTTCTGGAACAGTTTCACTAGGGGTATTGAGGGACATAAAGTCGAATTCTTTGACATCTGAACTCAAGGGTAAAGATGGATTAGAAATTTCAAAATGAATGTGCACAAACTCTTATACCTTTCAAGATCTCTTATTTAAAACTCTATAAGCTTGACCCTTATTAGAATAGTCGAGCAATATACCAATATCAGATTTGGCATCAAACTTTCCAAGTGTGTCTTTAGTGTTTAAAATAAAACACTTGCAATCAAAGGGTTTACTGTAGGAAAGATTTAGATTTTTGCCTTTTAAAATCTCGCAAGGAGTTTTATTTATGATTTTACGAATGGAAACAAGATTAACTATGTAGCATGCAGTATTGACAGCTTCTCCCCAAAGATATTTAGGATTATCGAGCTCAAGTAACATGGTTCTAACGATTTCAATTAGTGTTCTATTTTTTCTTTCCATAACACCATTATGTTGTGGAGTTCTAGGGCCCAAAAGGTGTGCAGAATGCCAAGTGAATCACAAAATTTCTCAAATTCTTCATTGACAAATTCTCCACCGTTGTGGCTTCTAATACTTTTGATCATGCCATCTGATTGGTTTTTTTATAAAATAACAAACGATCGGAATTTTGTAAAGGATTCATCTTTGAGAGCAAGTAGGAAAATCCCGGTATATCTAGAAAAATCATCAATGATTACAAAAACACAACTTTTCCACCCAAGACTTTGAACATTGGTTGGTCCAAAAAGATCCATACACAACAATTCGTAAGGATGAGAAGAAGTGATATCAAGTATGATTTTAAAAGCCTTTCAACAATGTTTCCCTAGGATGCAAGCTTCACAAACAAAATCATTTTTATTTTTAATGATAGGTAAGTCACAAAATTATCCAATTTGGACAGTTTGCATGTTCTAGAAGTACTTAAATGTCCTAACTTTCTATACCAAGTCATATCATAATATGAAATAGTGCTCAAGCAAAATGTCTTCAGTCATGGCAAGACATGAAAGATCAACAGTGTAAATATTGTTAACTTTGTTTCCTTGAAAAATGATTTTCTAATTAGAGATGCGTTCAATAGAGCAGCATATAGGATCAAAAGTAACTCTATAAGTAAACCCACATATTTGACTGATGGAAAGAAGATTGTGTTTCAATCCTTCTACATACAAAACATCTTTAATACAAGAAAGGAATTACTACAAACAGTTTCATTATCCACTACTGAAGCACAATTATTATACCACATAATACTTTACCTCCTTTTTTGGATCGAGATAGGAGAAGAGACTTTTGTTACCCGTCATGTGGTGAGAGCATCTGGAATCCAAGTACCAAATGTTTTTACCTTTATTTTTCTGAAATAAAAAAAGTAAACTAGTTAGAAAATTTAGCAATCCAAACAAATTTGGGTTTAACCTTCCCTTAATAGCATTTCTTAAAGTGATGACCTAAGTTACCACAGAATGTACATTACTGGATATGTTTTATTAACATTCCGATAATCCGTGGGAAGTCGTAAACTAACTTGATGTCTTTTAGTCATCTTCGGTGCGCGCCGGTATAACCATATTTTGGATACTTCAGATTTCTTGTAGTCCTGGATAGTCTTAATCAGAGGTGTTTCATAGACGATAGTTCTATCTATAGTGGAAGCAAACCAACTTATAGTGCGAACTAAATCCATTAAGTTTACTATCGATAAGCACAGGTAAAGTGAAAGGGTTTGGGTGTATAATATTTATGAAAAAAGCCTTTCGATAATATGGGAAGTATTATTTATACACTCCTGCCTTAAATGAAAAGGTTGCTTCCTGTTAAAGTTTTGGCGATGATAATTAAGCTCTCTTTTTAAATATATACTTTATTCCACTAAATTAGCAACTTGTCTGTCTTGTGAAATCTGAGCAGCAAGTTGAACTTCATTGAGATGCTCAAGTGTCTCAATTTCTAAGTCCTTCTCATGCATTAAAAAAAGTCATTCTCATGGAGTTGCTCCATTGTGAGACAAAACTTACCTTTAATCTAATATATTACTAGGTTTGGTGCCGCACTTTGTTGCGGCTAGAATCAGAGTCTCCCGTTAACTTGTCGTTGGTTGTAATAAGGTGTGTTTTAATAGCTATGTGATTAATTTGAATTTGTATAAGTTATTTTTCTTGAAGAAAAAATTCGAGAGAGAAGTAAGAGGAGAACAGAAAAAAAAATTCTTGAAATTTTTATGCCTCCAAATCCAAAGGGAGTTTAAATAAGAAATGATCACCCTATAAGTTAAAAAAATTCACCTGGTGATCCTAAAGTATGGATCATACTGATGGGTTGAGAGTTAAAACAAACCAATTTCTTATTGTGAGGCCTTAAATAAGTCTGTTTAGACATGTTCTTCTTTTAGCAGTAGAATCAGCTTCTTCACCTCCTTCTAATCGTCATCTCTAGTATATATAAAGTTTAATTTTGATAAATTCTTACACTCTCTTGAATTGAGTGATGGTAAGATGATATTTAACTATTGCTCCTACCAACAAAATGCACTAATGAAAAACTAATTTTAACATTTCAGTTGTAGACACGTTTGTGAAACAAAATATAAAAAATGGGTACTCATCAGAAAATATAATAAAAAGCTAATTTTAACGTTTCAAATGTAGACATATTTCAAAAATAAAATATAAAAAATGGGTACACTACGCAAAAAAATCATTGACCCAATAACACAATCCAAATGCATAATCATTGGATGATTATATATAAAAAAAAAATTAACGAAAATTAATAGGGTTAAAACAATTTCCCACACCCAAAAAGTTCATAACTCCCAATAGTACATCCTAAATGAAAGCCAAACTTTAATTAAAACTAAATCTTTAGTGAACAGTAACATAGTTATATATATATATATTAATTAAAATGCATCTTGAAGATTGGAGAGAGCATTTAGAAAAAAAAAAACTTCTTTTTTTGGGTTTCAGGTAGGTAATCAGAAGAGGAATTAGACCATACCTTTTAAGCGTCATGATCATAATCATGGTTGGAGTTCATTCTTTTTTTAATAAAAATGCACTTGTGTTGGAGTTCATTCTTATACTGAAGGGTTAAAGGTCGTCCTAGAAATTATTAATCGTCGTCCTAACTTAATACGTAAATTACTTAATTACCCTTTTTAAAATTCAAAAACAAACCGTACACAAACAAACCTTCAGCAGCCGAGACAAACCCTTCCCCTTCCCTCTACCCGACTGCCGACTTCCCCCCAGCAGCAGAGACCCGCCGCCACAGCCCCACGCCGGCGACCCGCCCCGTTAGCCGCTCCCCCGTCGCGTCGTCAGCCGCTCCCCTGTCGCCGTCAGCCGCCTCCCAAGTCGTCGTCAGTGCGCACTCCCTCGTCGTCGGCCGCGCCTCCACTCGCCGTCGCCGTCAACCCCTCCTCCAGTCGCCCGCCGTCCGTCCTCGCCGGAGAAGAAGGTAAGTCTGCCGTCCTCCAGTCGCCATTCAACCACCGAAGCCGCCGTTCGGTTGGCCATCAGGTCAAACCGAGGTCAACGTTCGGTTGGCCTTCGGTCAAACCGAAGTCAACACTCGGTTAGGCCATGGTCAAACCGAAGTCAACATTCGGTTGAGCCATGGTCAAACCGAATGTTGACCTCGGTTGGACCATGGTCAAACCGAATGTTGACTTCGGTTGGTTTGATTTTTTAATTATTTTAATATAATTAATTAATAAAAATTGTTATTAAATATTGTAAATTATTAAGTAATAATTAGAAATAATTGTAGTTAATTATAAATAAGGTGTACAGTTTATAATTTATTATAAGAATTAAATTTGAATAGTTTTATGAATTCAATTATGAAAAAAATATTGTGAATAATGTATTAAAAATTATCTGAAATTTTTAAAAAGTATCAAAATTTAGAAATATAATCTGTAAATTTGTAATTAATGTTAAAAAAATATTAGAATAATGGGAAAATTAAAAAGTAGTCGAAATTAGACAAAAAAAACTAAGAAAGTTGTAATTAATGTTAATAAATTATCAAAAAGTTACAAAAAAATTAGAGAAAATTATCAAAAAATGTTAATGCATTTGATTATCATTAATTTTAATTTTTTTTTTGAAGATGTCTGGACATGGAATAGGCAAATCGTACATGAATAAGAAAAGAATGGAAGAAAAAACGGAAGGAAGAATGGAAGGTCGTGTTTGTAGACTTATAGCGACAGGTAGAAAAGAAAATGAAGAAAAAAATCCACGTAAGGTTAAGGGGAAGAAGAAGAAGAAGAAGGCGGAAATAGGGCATCCCGACGGTCGCCCTACTATGGGACAGTTATCTCTTAGTCGAGGTACTACCTCCACCCCTACTCCTGAGGATGCGACGCCGTGGGAGGCTAATTGGAGTGATTCAGTTTCTATGGACGATGATGATGCTGATGATGATGATGATGTGGTTGTTGATGAGGTTGGGGATGCCCCACCTGAATCTGATGTAGGCATCGGTAAGAAGAGACGAGTTGGGACATCTTCTACAGCTTCTTCGCACTTTCCACAGCGTGGGCTAGATGGACGCTACGTTGCGAGACGTAGTAGTGAGGAAGACGGTGATGGTAAGAAGAGGAAGAAGGGAGTAAGGGGGGACATGTCATGGCGTCTGACATCGGAGTCTCAGATGTGTTCAGGTGGACCTGTGATTCCCGATGTGATCCCTAGCTTTGGAGGTCACATTGCCTTTGCATTGTGGACTTCTCCAGCGCAGGATCGTGGGTTGTTGGATTGTTATCATAGATCTGGTAGTGTGGAGTCTTTGAGGAGATATGAGTGGAGTTCAGAGGATTCTCAGAAGGTGGTTGAGGGCACAGGATTGTCCCACTTGGCAGGGTGTATGATGCAGCATTTAGATACAACTTTGATAACGGCATTTGTGGAGAGATGGCAGCCGGACACGAACACCTTCCATATGCCATTTGGAGAGATATCGATTCTTCTCCACGACGTGCATCACATTCTTCGTATTCCAGTTGAGGGGGAGCTGATGAGAGATGATCCGCATCCAGATGTTCTTAAGTTAGACATGCATGATCTATTTCGGGTCCCGGTGGATGGTCCTGTTGGTGGTAAGTGGAAGTTGAAGTGGTTCCTTAATGGTGTTATACACGCAGAGGGATTGTTGGTGCGTGGACGAGAAATGAAGATTAGGGACCTGGAGGTGCAGACTTACTTGTTTGTGTTGTTGGGATCCACACTTTTTGTGGATAAGAGTCGCGATCGCCTCCGTCCTGCGATCAATGTATTTCTGAAGGACCAGCGATGAGTGGCCGGTTAGGCCTGGGGAGCTGCTGCACTCGCCTATCTCTACAGACAGCTAGGGATGGCCACACGAGTGGGGAGTAAGAGTATTTGTGGTTGTTTGACTCTGCTTCAGGCGTGGATATATGAGTACTTTCCACTCTTCCGTCCGAGCCAGATTCTCCAGGCTGCAGATGCTCCTCGTGCTTCCTCGTGGGTGTGTCACCGCTTTGCAGGTGGTGATGATGCTAGACAGCGCTTGGTACGGTATCGCCAGATGTTGGATGAGATGTCAGGGGAGGATGTGTCTTGGACTCTTTACGGGCGAGATGCTGGCACGGAGGTACTACGCTCTTTGTATACTGGTGTCATTCGCTTTGCTGACGTTGCTGAGGGTTATGATCCTTCACGGTGTCGCCGACAGTTTGGGTATTAGCCACTGCTAGTATCAAAACATTCCTCTTACTTGATCCATTCGGAAATAGCTCCAGCGGATGATTGTGAAAACCCAAATTAGCACCAGGATTCTTTGTATTAGCCACTGCTAGTATCAACCAATATCCATCATCTGACCGCTCAATGTTGATCTGAAATTCACACCCCAACTTTCCAGAAGAAGTAAGAGGCCTCCTTTCCTTAGCCGGATCAGAATCAGGAGCCTTCGATTTTTTCTTCCTACCATGAGTGCACTTCAAGTATCGTCGCCTACTATCTTCATTTGGATTTTTTTTATTTGATGCATTCACCAAATAAAACCCAAAACCCTTGGCAATCTCAGTAGCTGCTGCATATGCAATCAAATCCGTATCGTATTTTACTCCATTGATGAATTTTTTTTTTTTTAGATAAGGGTGATATAGGTTATTATTTGTAATTAGGTACTACTTAAGGGATTCGAACCTGGAAACCTGGGACCTCCAGGTTCAAGGCTAGTAGTATTACCATTAGACCAATCCCTTGTTCGTTTTTAGATAAGGGTGATATAGGTTATATTTTGTAATTAGATACTACTGAAGGGATTCGAACCTGGGACCTCCAGGTTCAAGGCTAGTAGTATTTTTTTTAGATACTACTCCATTGACGAATTTTGAGGTGTAATCTTTGCCATCCCCTCCGTAATCATCAATATCCTACAATGTTAGATCTCATGATATAAGTAGGACTCCACAATAATAGAAAATCTAACGACTACATTTAATTTAACAATTATCACAAATAATTTTGCATTCTGAATATTCTCCTAAGCAAAATCCAACATTTAACATGACAAAATTTAGCATTCTCTATTATTTACATAAGAATCATATTAATCACATTCTAGAATTTTTTTGTTGCGTATTATACATCTAATCTTAATTTTGTATACAAAAACATTCAATTTCACAAATAATTAGGCTCATAAATTTTAAAAATAATATAAACTAAAATTCAACAAACAATCATATAGACCAAACTATAAATCATAACAAAAAAATAGAAATATTTTATATAAACTTAAAAAAACCCAAAAGCCACCAACATAAGCAAATTTTCGGTTCCACCATGGCTAAACCGAAGCCAATTTTTGGTTTCACCATGGCCTAACCGAAGCCAATTTTCGGTTTCACCATGGCCTAACCGAAACCAATTTTCGGTTCACCCATGGACCAAACGAAGCAGATTTTCGGTTCATCCATGGCTCAACCGAATGTGATTTTCGGTTGGTCCATTATTCAACCGAAACCAATTTTCGGTTGAACCATGGACCGACCGAAAATCACATTCGGTTGAGAATTTTTGGGTTTTTTTTTTAAAAAAACGAGATTTTTACCTCGTCGGAGTCGCTACTCATTGTTCGGACGTATGCTCGACGATTTCGGCTTCCAAATGTCGATGATGAATTCGAGAGTGTGGGAGAATGAGTGTTTTTTGCTTTCTAAGTGAAGGTGGTGTTTGTTTGCTAAAGGAAAGGTAAAGATGTTAAAAGGTTAAAAGTGTAACTTTGTTGTTTTTTAGGAAGATCATTAGTAATTGTTAGGACGACCTTTATCAACTCCCTTCTTATATAGACAACAACTTCAGAGTCGTAATCTCTCCGTGAGGCTTTTAGAGAACACTTCTACTATGCTATATAGTATTGATGCTTTAATATACAACTTAAAGTTGTACCATAACAATAAATGTATAAGTTTATGTTATGGTACAACTTTACAACTTGAAGTTGTACCATCATGTTATGGTACAACTTTACAACTTGAAGTTGTACCATCACATAAAGGTACAAGTTCACTTCAAGTTGTACCATAAAAGAATTTGTACAAAAAGTATAGATACAATATGAAGTTGTACAATAACGTAAATGTACAATTTTAAGTTATACCATAAAGGCAAAAGCCTATAGCACCAATACTATATAGCATTGTAAAATTTCTCCCTTTTAGATTGTGTTAACAATATGGCCAATGCTACAGTAGTGCTGTAAAAATTGTGGCACCGATGATGCTAGTTTTGATTAGGCCACGTGGATTGTGATGTGGCGCTTTATTCACTCTGAGCCCAAACCTGATAACCCAATGAAAATGTCCCATTCTGATTTGTCGGCTGAAGACGAACATGCATGCCGTTGATTCATTCATGCGACATATCTATCGTTCAACCCATGGCGGCGTTCCTAGTGGCTGCGGTATTAATTTTTTCCCCTTTCCTGTCTACCATCTGTCTTCTGATTCTTGTTCTATTGAAATTCATGGTTAAAAACTTTCTCAAACTTCTCAGTTACTAGGCTCTAAGCTCTTAGACCATCCACATCCATGAAATATCATTTCTATTTCATTTGTTGCCCCTACTGCTACATCAGCAACTTTTTCCATTTCACTATATATCACTTTCATTTCCTCTACATCAATAAGATCCATTATATATTTCATATGGTGGGTCCAACTTACTTTTTAAACAACTATATATTTTATCTAATTGTGTATTGTCATATGTTTATTTGTTTTGTGTTACAATTTAAGATTTCAATGTATGTACCCGTTTATTTGTGCTTAATGACTTTTTTTTTATTAAGTATTGTTGATTTGTTATGTAATTTGTATTTGGATGTAGTTGTGACATCTTTATATTTATATAAGTGTACGTGAACTTTGTTTTCGTATTGCACTTTCAGAATCTACAAAATTAATTAATCAAAACTTAAGAATTTTCTAATCTATTAAGTTTGTTCATCTTTTTTTTTATTCAATTAACTTTGTTTATCTTAAACAAATGATAATTGAAAAAAAGGAATTGAAAAAAAAGAAAAACAACATTACGTACACATTAAAAAGTGACCTTCCATTTTTATTGTTTGTTAAATGTATAATTTTCAAAACAAAATGGAAATGAAAAAAAAATATCAAATGTGAGATGGAGCCCACTTTCCACCCACAACCATGACAGAGTAAAATGGTATGCCACGTCGGAATGGAATGGGTCTTTGGAAGCCGATGCAGGTGCTCGTCCTTATCCTTATCTCAACTAGAGTTGCATGAAAACAATCATCCGCAACTTCTTATTTCCGGTTTGGGCAAGTCAAAGTATAACATGAAAAGTGATAGACCATTATTTGCACATGTTTTGACCACCATTATTGGACCGTTTGAGAGATTCTCGTGTTTTAAACCGATTTCATGCTAGGTAGTGCGTTCATGTCATATTTCAGGACTGGGCGTGGACATGGAGGCTTGGAAGCGAGTTTTGGGTCGAAAATGGAGAGTTGGCGCCTAGAGGAGCTGGAGGCCAAATACCCAGCAGGGCACTAAAATACCCGACCGGGTATAATCTGTCGAGGGAGCGGGTATTCGCCCGATAGAGCCGGAAGAAGCAGAATGGGGCTCGGTCAGGAACCCAAAATACCCGACCTGGTATTTTACCCAAGGGCAGGTATTTCCCCTTTGCCTGCGCGCATCGTTTCACCATACCTGCCCGGTCCTCTGGATACCCGACCGGGTATTTGGGCCGGGTATCGGGCACTGCTGCTGTTTTAAGGGAATTTTGGGGGTTTTTTAGGAGGCAAGTCTTAGAGCAAGAAATAGAGGTTAGAGAGAGAAAGAGAGATCCTTGAGCGCCCTAGATCAAGTTCCACATAATTGGAGCTCGATTCAAGTCTCGAGGAGAGACGATTGACGACCCGGTGCCGATTTCCTCCGTCTACACGATGATTTCCACATCCGTAATGGCTTTCCACTCTCTTTCTATGGAGTAATCCTCCTCTTTCACTTGGGTATGTAAGAACTCTAGATTGTTGTTAGGATGAGTTGTATGAACCCTTTGCCCTAAATGATTGATTGATTTTTATCCAATTGAAGTACTTTCTCTGAATTACTTGAGTCTTGATCACATTCTAATGATTCCTGATTTGACCTAGAAAGATAATCTCTGCATAGGTCAACAGAGCACCTTGAATTGGAAGTAGTGGATTGGCGACCTTAATCGGAAAGTCGATTCCTGCTCTGTACTGGCTTAGAATCCAGTAGATGAAGTTTTAACCTCATTGCTTCAGTTAGCTTACACCGGTGGAGGTTAGTCGCCCGCCGGGTATTTCTAACTGAGAGGGTCTGAAGCACTTTAGTCGAGGTTTCAGACTGTTTAAGAACTTTCCGCAGTTTGAACTTCAATCAACTTGGTTTAGGTAAATTACAACTTGACTTAACTACAATCTAGGGGGACTCATACCTGAGTGAGCCTTCTCAAACTTGAACTACAAATTTTACTGCTTTGTGTTTTGGTTAGCTTAGTTAATACTTCACTACAGTTAAATCGCTAGATAACGAGAATTCACGGAGTAGTCATCATATCTAGCATCCGGGTTGACAATTAAGACTAAACCCACTATACTACGCATTAGTAGGTGGTTGCACTTGGCCACTTTCAAGTGAGACAGTTTTACCGTGTCAAAAAACCAGAGGATTCATGCATACTGGCTGCTTTGTTGCTTCTATGCCTTGTGATCTAGTGGGGGTATTTTATTCACTCAATCCCATTGCCAGGTATGCTTTGAAACGACCTTCACACTTAGGTAAGCTTGTAACAGTTTGATTAGCACATGTCCATGTTAGTAATTGTTGTCTATTACCTTCTATGGTATTTTGAAGGTTTGGCGAGTAGTATGTTGTTTTAGGGGCTATCACTTGTTCTGCATCCTGATTAGGGGCCATGACAATTGAATGACAGATTGACAATTGTTCATTACATGGCACAAATTTCGTGGGAATATAAGGGCAACATAGGCTGATAGTAAAGAATCTATCATGTGAGTACCACCATACCATTTCAGAAAGAACAGTTTGACTGATGCAATAATCCCTTATTAGTAGTCGGTTGAAGGCTGCCCTGAAAGGTTGCTTCCTTCTAGACAGGTTAGTCCAAAATAGCTTCTTCTCTTAAATTGTGTTACAACCAATCTAATGTGCAATG